GCACTGTCCATCCCCAGTGCGACAGTGCCGATTTCACCGTGCAGCGCGGGCGGGCGTTCCTAGACTGCGGCGTCGCCACTTCGCCCCCTGCCCGCATGTCCGTCCTGCGCTTCACCGCCCTGGCCCTGAGCCTGTCCGCCGCCTTCGTCCACGCGCCTGCCACGGCCGATGTGCCGCTGCCCACGCTGCCGCTGGGCACGCCGGATCTGTCCAACCTCTACGGGCTGGAACTCAACCAGTGGTACGTCTTCAGCAACTTCGCGACGGCGGGCACCATCGTCAACGGCCGCGTCTCGGAAGGCGCAGGCCTCGGGGTGAAGGACTTTCCCGTCGGCGCCGACCTGACCCGCCGCGTCGAGAACTCGCAGGTCGACGGCAGCAAGAGCGCGTCGGCGCTGGCGCTGCTGTCCCCCACCAGCCTGGGCGCAGCGGCATCGGCCCATGACCCGGCCAACGCGTTCAGCGCCGGCACCCTCGGCGTCAGCATGTCGTCGATCTTCTTCTTCGCCGTGCTGGACCAGAACGTCACCTTCAATTTCAACCTCAAGCTCGACGGCCACCTCGACGGCAGCGACGCGCACCGGCTGAACAGCGATGTCTCCGGCGCCGCCGTGGCCGCCGTGACGATGGGCTCGTGGAGCGGCTATTCGACCGAATCCATGGTGGCGACCTACCACGCCGCCGGCATGGACCCCTACGCCGAAGGGGAAGCGCTGATGCGCGAGCTCGGCTCGCTGCAGTCCACCCGGCAAACGCATCTGGACACCTTCGGCGCACAGACCAGCGCCGTCCACGACGTGTTCGACGTCGACACCTCGCTGCAGGTCTCGGCCACCGGCATCCATCTGGACTGCGATCGGGCGCTGTCGCCGGCCTGCGGCCGCTATGCCTACTTCCTCGGCGTGTCGCTGTTCACCGCCGCCCAGGACGGCGGGCTGGCCGATTTCTCGCACACGCTCAGCATCAGCAGCGTGTCGGTCAACGGCGGTGCCGCCCTGCCCTTCAGCGCAATCTCGCCGGTGCCCGAGCCGGC